CAAGGTGCCATTTGAAGGAAAGAAAATGTGGAGCCCAGAGAAAAGGAGTAGTGAATTCAAGATGGTGGCTGAAAAGCCTGAGAAGCATCTTGCAGTGGTGAGCACTTAGCTGGCTAGAACGGTAATGGCAATCAGCCCCTTCCCCATGCAGGCCCTTGGGGCCCTCTCCCCTTTGTTCTGTCTCTTCCTTGTAGCTTCTGCTGGACTCTGTCCTAGCCTGGTAGGTCACACCCTAGCCTGGCCCATTTTTCTCCTTGGTTCTAGTCCCTCTCTGGATCCACAGGAATATTTATAACACTCAATGCGCTCCCAGAAAATAAATGAGCTGCCAAGTATGGTGGAAAGGAAAGTTGATTTGGGAGTCAAGATGGATCGAGGGAATCTGAGGATTACTCCAGACTAACTTGTTTGACTGTGACCTCTGGGGGCCAGGTTCATCAAAGAAGGTGTCCTTAGTGGTTATCAGGCTGTGCCTGCTGAGGCCCCAAATTTCAGTGCCTCAGGGAAGATGAAAGGCAAAGAAGAGGAAGATGTCCCCCAACTTTGACTAGAACATTCCACTTTCATTGTTTTGCCTGAAATTTTTTTTAAAATTCACAAAGCACCCAGTCGGAGAGTCTTTAAAGCCACTCTGTTTCCAGTCCTAGCCACTTCATCCCTGAATGTGGGAATGACTTAGGAAATGCCACTTCATCTGGATCCTGTAATTGCATCTCTTAGTTACTAGGCCAGTGGTTCCCAGAGAGGAGGTTTGCCTCCAGGGGACATTTGGCAAAGTCTGGAGACACTTTTGGTTGTTTTAAGTGGGGAGGAGGGAGATACTGGCGTTACTGGGTGGAGGCCAGAGACGCTGCCAAACATCTCACAAAGCACAGACAATGACTCAACCCCAAATGTTGACTGTGTGGATGTTGAAAAACCCTGTACAAACTGTAAACTGAAGAAAACATGCTAACAGAGGAGCTTCTGATTGGGGAAGACCTCCTGCAGCTTTTTTTTTTAGCCCTGGGTCATTGGGAGGTTAAGTCTAAGCTCCCCTCCTCCCTGGAGCCTTGGATCTGAGACACAAGACCCAAGACAGATGCCCATAGAACTTCTCAGTTTATCTCTAGGGAGAGAATTTGCTTTGCCCAGTTCCCAAGCAGGGGCTGCTCAAGATGCTACCTCGTCAGCTTTACTCTACACAAAGAGCTGGTGAAAGTACCATGAATATTGAACTTCTTGTTCCCTCATTAACAAAAGATTTATTATCTATGATTTTTAATTATTTATGGATTATGTACGGACCAGGAATGATACAAGGAACTATGAACTGAGATCTAACAGTGAATGAAACAAAGTCCGTGCAAGCATCCAAGTCTGGGGCGGGGCTGGAAAGCAGAAAATAAAAACAAATAACTACATGACTCAGTGGGTGATAACGGCTATCCATGCCCCACAGCAGGGTAGGGGCTTTGGAGTGGGAAGAGGTGACCATGGTCTAGTGAGGCAGCATGGGAGCAGGGTTCTGAAGCCTTGTGCATGTCTCGGGGGTAGAGTCCAGACAACAAGGACAGCGAGAGCCAAGGGATGAGTGGACCTCCTTGGGGTGTCCCTGGCAACCCAGAGACTGTGCTGGAGCCAGGAACAATGGGTGATGTTGGAAGGCCACGTCTCCCAGGACCTGGTCATCCCCAGCAGATGTTGAAATCTTACCCTGAAAGAGATGGAAAGCCTTTAGAGAAGTCAGAAATAGTGTGACATAAACCGATTCATGTTTTTTGTTTTGTTTGTTTGTTGTTTTGCTTTTTAAAGCTCCAAAGGCCTTTGAAGACCGAAGTTGCCTTCCCTGGGACCAGGAGTCTCTAAATGTTGACATTTTCTTTTTGCATTTAAAGAACCTATGAACAGCCAAAACATTAGCATTCCTTTTATTACAAAGTTCCTCCTGATAGTCTAACCCAGAGATTGCTATGGCTGATTTTGCAAAATGCTTTGGAATATCTTAAGAAGAATGGAGCAGCGTTCAAGTTTAATAAGACGAATTAATGCAGACTCCATCTCACTTGAATAAAAGAAATTTCTAGCTGTGCACTACTTGTAGAAGAGGGATAGGTCAGAGTGAAATAAAAATTTTAAATTCTGCATTCCAGAAAGACTGCAATCCATAATTAACATGGGAAGTTCAAGACAGGAAGAGGGTCTGACCATCATTTGTTAATTTATTCAGAAATTGCCAGCTCTTCCCAGACAACTTTTCAAACAAATCCTGACACTTGTTTAAATATTTGTTGACTTGATGACCTTTGTTTTGTTTTGGTTTGGTTGTTGTCATTATCGTTGTTAATTAATTTTTTTAAATAAAACAAACATTGTAACAGCAAATAAATGTTGACAGCTTCAACTGTGAGTATCTCAATCAAGCTATGCCTAGGTGTTAAGTGGTGGTTGACCAAAATTGTATCTGTGGGGAAAAAAATCCATTGGCAATATCAGAAATAGTCTCTGAATGTAGAAGGGTTAAGGCCCGTTCTAATCCCTGACCTGTGGTTATTAAAGTAGTGCAATAGGTGTAAAAACATCTGCTTAAGATACAGAGTTTTCAGCAATTGTTTTTCCATTATTTTCCCTCAAATATGTGTTTAGTCTCAAACCCCTTTCCTTCAAGAAGAGGTTGGCTGAAGGATTCTATAGCTGTGCTTACAAAACAAACAAGCAAATAAGTTATTTTAAGATGTTGCATTTGAATCCTTTGCCTCTTTTAAACTTTTAATGGCTTTGTGATTTAGTAACAGTCTTCAGATTAAGTTAACACTTCCTACTCACTCCCTTGGGACTGCTCTGAAGCCAGCCTTCCGGGGACCTTGAAGAACACAGTGACAGAGGGGTTTGATGTGGCTGGACTGTATGGCTATGCTCCAGGCGCCCTTGCCAAGACAGTTGAGTCAAAATGTTGCAGCAACATATCTGATACATGGCAGGAATTGTAGCCAGTGGCTACCATGGCAACTGGTTCCACACGACCCCTCAAGTTGCAGGAAAGTGGGGTGGGGGTGGGGCTGCACAGGGGTGGGAGTTGCCATAGCAAGGGAATGACAGTTGTCTGTGGTCACAGAATTCTCTCTAAATGGGCAAGATTTAAGGACAATATTGAAGCTGCAGGATGACATTAATAGCAATGGCATGTCAGATCCGTTAGCTATGGGTAGACAGCCAAGTGTGCAATCATTTAATATTTACAACAACCAAAAGAATGATCTTGATTCCCTTTTCTCTGATGAGGAAGCCAAGGCTCAGAGGTCTACCTTGTCTTTCTGCAGAACTTCACTCTTTTGCCTGAGCCAGAACCCACCAGGAGAAGAGAAAACGCCTGAGCGAGTCAGAGAGTTCTCTCAACTGCTCTGATGCTCTTCAGGGGAGGCGACTGAGGGCATCCACCTGGGATAAACAGCCCCTCCTTCTACTCTCAGGTGAACCCCAGAGCAGGTCAGCGGTCTAACCAGAACTAGTGGTGAATTAAAGATGGTTGCATATCCTTTGACAACTCACCTGTCAAAAAGGTGAAATTGACTGATCTTCAGTGGGGGCTGGTCCTGTGACTTGCTCTGACTGGCAGAGAGAAGCAGAAGTGAAACCAAGGTGAGGTCCTACGAGATCTGCAGCTTTGGGTTATATGTTCTTGGAACTCTCCCTCTGCAGGCAATGTGGTGTAAGAAGCCACAAAAAAAAAAAAAAAAAAAAAAAAAAGAGCCAGATGGCTTCCCATTTTCAGCAACAAGCCTAGCCAACAGCCAACACCACCTGCCAGCCAGGTGAGCCATATCCAGATGTCCCAGCCCCTCAGCAACTCAAGGAGCCTCAGAAAGGCCCAGCTGAGCCCAGGTAACTCCAGAATCAGGAAGGAGAAAAAATGGTGGTGGTAGAGATTGTTTTAAACCACTAAGTTTTAGGATAATTTGTTCTACATCCATAGCCAACACTTTAACATAAGAAAATTGCCCCTTGGACCTGAAGCTCTTGAAGGTGATGTGGCCAGATGAGAACAATGACTAATGAGCTCCGTATTTGCATCTTGGGAGGAAGGTCGTCTTTTAGGAGGGTTGAGTATAAAGGAGGGCTATCTGTGCCCCCGTTGTGGGACAGCACATGTGTTTTCTTTCCAGAGCCTTCCTAGAACATGCTCATTCATAAACACACAGATTACCAACCAGTGCCTCAGGATTGAAGCTGGGGACAGAGTTGCCTAGTCCAGGGTGCAGAAGGAGCTATGCTCAATGAGCTAAAGTAGGCTGTTGAAATAGACACTCAGTCTTTTTAAGAAAATGTTTTTTGTTGTTGAATTGGGGTGTCATGAATGCCTTGCTGTCCTTGGACAGTTACTGAATTCATTTCTTATTAAATTATTGTGAGGACCAAATGTGAAAAACCTACGCTAATTTACCAGTATCCTACCTCTCTGAAATAGGTGCAAGATAACTAAATATCCTTTCCGAATTTCTGGTCAACCCTAATGTTTTGACACTATTTAGATCCCTGGAACCATTGCTAAATCAAAGTGAATTTCATAAAGAGAGGAGATCAGATGGACAGTGTCCGTCCATGAAGGTTTCTTTCTGACATCCCCTGAGAAAAAAGGTAACAGCTGTTCTTCAAACTCTGCTGGTAATGTTTTTCTTTCCAGCCTCACCTTTGGCAAAGGCAAGATGTCTGGTACTTGTGGAGAAACACAAGTCTTTCCATCAAGTGTGAATGGTTGGGAAGTCCCGGATCCATTTACATCTGATAGGGAGGCTCTGCCCTGCTCTAGGGCTTATGTTTTCCCAAAGATGTATTCAACCAGACTCTCTAAACGTTCTTGCTTTGGATTAATTTCTATGGCAGATTTGCCAGACTGCTGAGTTTTCAGCAGACCAAATATACTCCCATTCACCTAAGCAACTGAACAGAGTTCCAACTTGTTTTTTTGAGCCCCAGTTTTGAAAAGTAAACTTCTAGGGTGGTTTAGAGAGGAAAGAGAGGGCTGCAGTTCTTTTTTTATTGCAAAAGCCACAAACCCAACATTACTTCTTTTCAAAGAGTTAGAGGAGATGAGGCTGAGACACTGAGGAGGGGAGAATGTCTATTCCAGCGGGTTCCTCAAGGCAACAGAGGAAGCTTGGTGGCCACAGGAGTCTAGTTAATGAGCAGGTTATACAATATTCATTGTGTCGAGTTTAACTCTTCAAACAGAACTTCTAATTGCAAAAAGGAAAAAAAAGGAGCTAAATTACAGATGTTAAGACAACAAAGCTGGGTGAGAACTCCCTCTGTTGATCAGCCGGGCCTCTCGCTGCCTCCTCCGCTGGCTGCGTGCTGACAGGAGGCGCCGTGAATCCCCATCCTCATCAGGAATTCTCATTAGTCCTGTTTTGACTGAGCCGCTCTGCAGAGTGGAAGGAGGCCACTGGGAGCCCCACCACAAGAGTCCTTTCAGAGGACTGCTTTCCTGCTACCTCTGAAGGAGAGACCCTGTTGTATTCCGCTTGAACCAAAACAAACCTGTTCTCCCCAATCTTCCTGACGTGAACAGTCTCCCCACCGTCGCTCCTGGCGATGGCATCCAAGGCTGGCTCACTGAAGGACACTTCTGTTCGCTTGTGGCAATGCTGAGTATGCAGGTAGCAAAGGCCAGCAGCCAGGGCCATGCCCAGGGTGGCTGACAGACAGAGTAAGGTGCCCAGCTGCTGCGTGCTGAGCTGGATCCCCAAAGGGGCACTGGCACCCTTCTGCCCGACTGCAGGCCTCACAGTCTTGCTAGGGTGTCCCACACCACCTTCTCCCTCCCCTGTCCCCATTCTGGGATCCCTGTGCTCTGACTCAGGTACAAATTTGGCAGAGGGCCTTGATGCCTGGCCACCAGCCACTTGATGCTGGGAAGCACTAGAGATGTGAAAGTCAGGGGTTGTGTTGGATTCCCCCACCCCCCTCCCAGTGGACGCTTCAGAAGACCAGAGACTTCGGGGCTGGGTAAGGTGGCCAGTGTACAGAGCAAGCCTCACTGGTGACCTATTAGAGGCTGTCATCTCATCCTAGAAAAGAAAAGATAAGTTAAAGGAGCTGACCTTCCCCCCAGTTTGCCAATAAACTTTACCACTAATTTGTGTTCCTTTTAGGCCCAACCTCTTGCCTATTCCTAAAAGAGCTGAAAGTAAAATGCCCAAGTAGATAACTCTGCATTTGTTATCAGTGGGGACAGAGCAGCTAATGGAAACCCCACTCAGAGTGTGGAGGCAAGTTACTAGAACAAGCTTCGGATCCTCTAAGAGGTTTCCAAGCCCACAGGGGAACTGCATCATTCCTGGTGCTGAAGGCTTTGAGTATGTTTTTTGAAGGCAGGACCCAGGCAGCAGGGACCGTTTAATCTTGCTGAAGGTTCTAATAAATTCAAACAAGAATATTATACTATGTTTTATTTTGTGTTCCTTCTAAGGCTTCAAAGGAAGAGTAAATCAGGGGGCATGTATATTTTATATTGCCCATTGATCTACCCTCTAAGCCATCCATGTTGTTTCCAGGCTCGTGTTATGAAGGAGAAGTGGAGGAGGAGAGAAAAGGAATTATTAACCACAGCTAAGTGGGCAAACAAATCTCTAAAACCATCCATTTCTACAATTGCTGATAACTTCAGAGATACTGCATAGAAAGCCATGGCTGGTATTGATCAGTACCAAGACACTTCGTATATATCATATCCTTGCCTTCTCTCTTCAGCCGCTAGTCTGGTAGCTCTGTTTTCCTGGAACTTCCCACTCAGGGATCAAAATACCAACCTTGACCTCCACTCACCCTTGAAGCTCTTACCTGTTCATCCCTATCCAAGGGCAGGCACGTTTCCAAGGAATGAAAGCTTGGATCATCCTGAGTCCTAAAGGGAAGAATGCGGGGGCTGAGAAGGGGTCATTAAGTATTTGGATGAAAAAGCAGTATCTCCTACCATTGTTTTAAATGCTGATGGTTTCAGATTTCCCTGGGATAACTCCTGAGTTTGGGGTGAGAAGACAGAAGGGAAAGTGAGGGGTGGGGTGAGTGAGAATAGTAGTAAAGAACTCACCAAGAACTATAATTTATTATTTTACATAATATTTATATATCATACCATAAATATATTTAAATATTAAATGATTTTATTTTACTTATAGCAGCCTCTCAGAGATCTCACCCATCCAAGAAAGGAGGTTTCCCTGGGTGATTATCATACCCAGCTCTTCTGACCAGTAGCCTTGCTACAATAAGGTTTTTTGCACACTTATAAATAAATATGGCTGAGATTTTTTTTTCATCAGACTCCAAGTGCCACAATATTTAGCCTCATCTCACCACCTGTACCAAATGACCCATGTGTTTTGGTTTGGATAGGAGGCGTCCACCAATAAGCTCATGTTAGATGATGCAGGAATGTCCAGAGGTAAAATGATTAGACTTTGAGAGCTGTAACCTAATCACTACATTAATCCTTGAACGGACTAACTAGGTGGCAATGATTGGCAGACGGGGCATGGCTGGAGGAAGTAGGTCGCGGGCTGGCGGGGAGTGTGCGTTTGGAGTTTGTGTTTCCTTCCTGGCCCCTCTTCCCTTCCTGGCTGTCATAAGCTCAGCACTCTCCTTTGCCATGCCCTTCCACCATGGTACTCTGCCTAGAGCAATGGAATCAGCTGACCATGGACTAAACCTCTTAAATCATGAACCCAGAACAAACTTTTCCTCCTCTAAGTTGTTCTTGTCAAGTATTTTGGTCACAAAGATGAAGAGCTGATTAACGCACAACTCCATCACCCATTACCTATGGTGGCTGCTCAGGCTGGAAGCAAAGCCCCCTGAGGAGAACCTCTTGAGGGCCACAAGCCGCTCCAGCCCATGGAAATCCAGGGATGGTTCTAGGATTCGATTGCTGCCTCCCCTGGGTTGCTGGCCATCGCTGCTTGCAGTAGCGATACGTGACGGTGATTGGGACAGAGTCTCTGTGTCCCCAGGCAACTTTGTCACCCCGATACTAGCAGGGACAGGATGTGAACTGTCCTCTTCTGAAGCTCCTGTAAAAACAACAGCAACATCTTTGTGCCATCGCTAAAGTGTGATGGGGCACTGGGAGCTGAGCCCAGGCCTGAAGACACCACAGAGACGGTGAGAGCATTTTCCCCATATTGATTTGTACAAATGTCTACAAAAACAGGGCAGATAGTGGATACTCTAATGTGCCTTAAGAATGGTCATTAAATGTGAGGCACTCAAAAATGTCAACAGGAAGATGATCTGCTCAGTAACATAACCTCCTAACCACGTAGCAAAGCACTGATTTCTCACATCTCTTTAGGGAGGAAGTCACTGGCTCTTCTGGACTTGTAAGTTTTTAACTGCCACCACACAGGGAATAGAGAAGCCACTGGACCACTGTATTTTTGTTTTCACCTCTGCCAGAAACTCTAGCTAGAAGAAAAGTAGAATCCACAAATTAGATGTCTTAAAACCCTAGATCTTTTGCCATGTGTCTTTTGCCATATATTATTAACACTCTAAATTTCCCTGGTGATGATAATGACTTGAGTGTCTGTTATGGGCAGAGGCGAGACCACTGACCTCCACTGCCCTCCACCAGCTGATTTCCCATCTGTGACAGTCTAACACAGGGCTCAGAGCATTAGAAATAGCTGCAAATAGGGCAGCAAGCAAGCAAGGGCTCCTTCTGGAGTCAGATTATGATCTGGGCTCCATGTTCCTCTCTGCTAACTCCTAGCTTTGGGCAAGTCTTCCCAGAGCATTAGGTTTATTTGCAAAATGGGGCCAATAACAGAACCCATGGTTCAGAACTGTTGAGGGACGACATAAAATAATTGAAGCACTGTGGTTGGCACACAAGCAGCACTGAGTAAGGGGTAACCACAGTCATGGTTTAGATGATAGGATTGGCGTAGACCAAAACAGTGTTGGCAGAGTTCATCTGGCCAGTGTTTGGTGCCCCTTTTTTTCCAATGTTTTCATCATTCAAAAACACTGAGGAGAAGAACAAAGTAGTATAACCCAGGCACATACAGCAACGGACAGTTTGGAATTCTGCCTGAACTCAAATTGCACTCAGATGTTGTGGACAGACCCAATGCATGCTGGGAGTTTTTCTGGTGTCTGGGCATGCAGAATTGAGGCAGACTCGTGATTATTGTCCCTTAACTCAAAATCTAGGAGGTGAGATTCTACATGCTCAACTTACGAAGTATAAATGTGAAGAGGACTTCAATTCCAGAGCTAGGGAAGCAATTACTTTTGCTGCTATGGTCTGAAGTGTGTTCCCCCAAATTCATGTGTTGAAACCTAACCTCAATGTAGTGGTGGGTCTTGAAGAAGGTGATTAGCTCATGAAGGCAGCACCTTCACGAATGGAATTAGTTCCCTTACAAAGAGGCCTGGGGGGCTTTGTTTAGCCCTTCCATCATGTGAGGACACATAGAAGGCGCCATCTATAAGGCTTGGTCCCTCACCAGACACTGCTGGTACCCTGATCTTGAACTTCCAGCCTCCAGAATTGTGAGCAGTGAATTTCTGTTGCTTAGAAATAACCCAGTCAAAGATATCTTCTGACAGCCACCTACATGGAGAAAGACACTAGTCTACCAAGAAGTATGAGAAAAACTTTTGTCACAGAGATATTTGAGCTGGGTCCTGCTAGCAATGTAGATCATCATGAGGAACCGCCCATGTTGAGGGAATCCCAGAGGGAAAGCTTGAAGTAGAAGAGTCAATCATCCCCAGGGGTGCAGTGGGACCCCAAAATGTCCTGAGGGTCTGTGGCAAATATGTTTGAGAAACACAATGTACTATTTTTCCAATTTCAACAAGTCTTCATTGACATATAACTACTGAAGTCTTCTTATAGTTAAGAAATCTATTTCATTTTATTAGATGACCCTCCAGCACGCGGGCACACATACACACACACACACACACACACATACACCCATGCTCCTTCTTCCTTTGGGAATCACTAGGGTTTGTGTAGAAGAATGGGCAGGAAGGCACAGTCAGAAGGGGAGGAACACGGCTGGTATAATGAGAAGTTTCCCCCATAAGCGGCTTAGACTAGCATCTGCGACCCCAGGAAGGACCAGTCTAGTGGGACAGGCAGGTATCAGAGAGACAGAGCATTCAATGTGACGCTTCCTCCTGATGACTCTCTTTTATTCATGTCCATATTAAAACAAACATGGTTGTGCTTGGGGCTAGATGCAGCATTTTCCTGGTTTATAAAGTAAAACATGAGACTTCCGCCATGTTGGTTCTGCAGGGTGTTCCCTGGGCCACCTCTCAGACCCTGAGTTCTTCACTCTGCTTCCAAGAGTGTGTTGGCAGAAAACTGGAGGAGCTGTTCTGGGGCAAGAGTAGAAAACAAAGTTTTGGGGACAGGGACAGAAAAGGGAGGGTGGCCCTTGATTGTCCCTGTGCCTGGGTCAGCTACCCTGAGCACAGGCAGGGATTTGGATGGATTTTGACTTTAATGTATCAACTAAGAATTTTAAGGAAAGAATCAAGAACAAAGGAAACTGGGATTGAATGGGTTAAGGATGGAAACTTCTGTGGAGGCGATTGGGTGTTTTCATGAGAGCGTCTGCTTAGCACCCTTAACTAGAAATAGATAATGAGAAGCGGCTCCATGTCACAGGATGCTAGGGAGGTCAGGCCTTCTCTGTCTGGTTAGGGGTTTTTGGTCGTTTGTTTTGTTCTGTTTCTTTTTTGTTTTTTTCAGAAGTTCATGGGCCAATGGAGGATAAAATCATGCCATAAACCAAGGGAAAAGTTGATTCCTATTGAAATAGTCTCTTATTCTTCATTCTGTTCTCCAACCCAGGCTGCAGAGAGCCATCTGCCTACCATGGAAAGTAACAATAAAAACTGGATGAGGTTTTTTTTTTTTTTTTTTAAAAAAAAGAAAGAAAGAAAGAAAGAAAGAAAAATAGCTCATTTCTTCTTGGTGCTCCCTGTGTAGCTTCAGGGGACTAAGGAAATCCTATGCTGACCAGCAAAGATGAAGGTAGAAGGGTCTTGTCATCTTTTGGTTTTGCAATGCAGCCCTAACTGTCCCCCCACAGCCCCACACACCAGGGTTTATCTAAATTTGTTGGGTTGAGCCAGAGGAAGTGTGTTGGGTTGAGCCAATGAAGCAACCACGAGCAGCCCCCCCTCTCACCACCCAGTTATCGCGTTCCATTCCTGGGATGGGCTGCAGCCACTAGAGGCAGGTGTTTATTGCTTGTTTTGCAGGGACAGGAAACTGGCAGTAGTCACTTGTAAGTGAAAATAGATCACTGTAAATAACGACGGCAACCAGATTGTAAGCACAGTGGTCAGCTGTACCTGTGGCTGTCCCTTCAGAGTCATCCAGCCTTCGCCCAGGGCTTGGCACCAGCGTCCCCAGCACAGCGCGGTGGTGGTCATCAGAGAGGGCACTGCTAAGTGTCTGTTGTGACACAACAGCTGATTCAATCCTTGCCCAGTAAACAAAATACGACTGGACTACTGATAAACTGTGGGAAAAGAGCAGAGTGAGTCATGATTTAGTTTCCCCTAAATAATACCCTGGTCCATCCGAATAGCAAGTTGACAACATGCTGGACACTAAACCTAAATGTTTGGAAGAACTCGAGAGAGATTGTTTTCTTTTTAAGTGACTTCATTGTTGGATAAAACGAAAACTCAAGAGTTGTAAGTAGTTAGACTAGGAGAGGGTATCTACAATTGACAACCCCCTCCTAATAAATATAGGCATCAAAAATCTCTTTTGGGGGCTGGTAAATCTCTGGCTGAGCAGGTATGAAGCCCTGGTTTCCCTCTCTAGCACAGGTGGGGAAGAGTTCATTTTTTTAAAAAATATTTTTTTTTTAAAGAGAGAGTGAGAGAGAGAATTTTTTAATATTTATTTTTTAGTTCTCGGCAGACACAACATCTTTGTTTGTATGTGGTGCTGAGGATCGAACCCGGGCCGCACGCATACCAGGGGAGCGCGCTACCGCTTGATCCACATCCCCAGCCCCAAGAAGAGTTCATTTTGACTAACAGGTGTTTTCTTGAACTGTTTCGACCCAAGTAAAAGATTGCATCTTCAGCTTTATTTTTAACCCCCACTGAGATACTACTAATTACATCATTAATTATGTTTTCAAAATTCTATTGTACACTGGTAAGATTCTATTGTAATTGTAGATTCTATTGAAGGTTAGAGAGAAATCATTACTATTCAAAATAGCATTTGGAACACACAATGCCTTTCTTCAGTGCAAATCACTTTCACAAACGTTATTTATCCTTCCAAAATTTTCAGGGAGGTAGGTATTCTTGGCGAGTATCATTTTTCCCACTTTACGTTTTCCAAGGGCAGTCACAGCAGGACCGTGTGACTCATGCAGCTGAGGTCTCCCAGAGAGAGAAGGAACAACTGGGAGTCCTGGAACAGGCCTCGGTCACCAGTGCGTGGCAGGGATTCCAGGAGGGGAGAGTACAAGGTGACTGTGGGGACGACTTCTGACCCAGTGACGGGGCTCCTTTTCCTGTCATGTGGCGGCAACAGCTTTTAAACCACTTCCTGTGAGCACAGAGCAACTGTGGTGTTGAACCCCAAAATAAGAACGGAGGGGCTTTGCGAGGGAAAAGCGACTGGAGAGATTGAAAGAGTTCAAGTGGCAGAATCCCCTCCCCAACATAAGAACTGAGGCCAGGACAGAGGCTGTTACACCCAGCATCCAGCAGGCCCCTGCCTGACCACATGGCAGCCCTGTGAGGGCACAGTGTTCTCTTCCTGCTGTCCTGGCCTCCAGGAAGGGATGGAGGAGGGACAGCATGGGGTGGGCCATGACCCTTGTCTCTGGCTCCCAGGGCAGAGGGCAAACATGGTGGAGAGGCCTCCACCCTTGGGTGCAGTCTCCCTTCTGTATTTCCAAGGATGTGGGGGAAAGAAACTCAGGGACACACTCCCCTTTCCCGAAGGATGAAAAATTCTTTCTTGGTAAGTGGCAGAATCTCAAAGGAATGATAAATAAGTATTTCATTTGGAGGAATGAAGATAAGTTATGAAGCTTACTCTTACTGGAACTGCCCTAAGTACTCGGCATGCATTGCTTTTCCTCCTTACACAACCCTAGGAGGTGGATGGTATAATCAGGATGCCCTCCATTGATTTTCTTAATTGATTTTCATTTTATTTATTTATTTACTTGTGACGTCACCCAGACTGGACTCAAGCCGTCCTGTGCCTCAGCTCCCAGGGTACCAGGACTAAGGGATGTGCCACCACACTAGGCTCATTCTGCCCATTTGGTAGAGAACATGCCAAGGCACAGAGACTGCAGTGGCTCTCCCTGGTCCAAGGAAGTGTCCATTTGTCCATCTGCCTCCGTCTCTCTCTGTCCCTCCTCTCCAATCACCAGCTCTTTTGTTCTCTAGTCAGAATTTCCTGGAGAGAAATTCTGGAAAAGGTTGGCTAAGGTTCACCTGCAGCTTGGGGGAGGGAAAGAACACCCCCCAGGACTGTGGATAATGGTGAAGGGAAGCTCTGGGGCCAAAGCCCTGTTTAGTGGCCCTCTGCATAGGCTGTCCGGATTAGGCAGCCGCAGGGACCCTGTCCTTGTTCTAAGGTGGCTACATATGGCAAAGGGGACCGAGGATATGAAGACTCCCCGCCCTGTCCTCAAAGTGGACTCAGAGACCAAGAAACAGCACTGCCCTGACTTACAGGAACCTGATGTCCCCCACAGGCTCAGCAGGGGCCTTCCACACGAAGGAGAGGTTTCTCTTCGGGGACTTGTCAGAGTGGGTGACTGCGTCCGCCTCTTCAAAGCAAGTGATCAGTTGGGAACGAGGAGGAATGAGGACAAAAGTGCCAGCCGTCTGATGATCAGACACCCTCCGAGCCTGCAGCAGGAACCCCATGAAATCCAGACTGCTCCTCACGGTCACTGCCACAGAGAACATTCCGCTCAGCTCCCGTGGTGGGTGATGGGGGTGTTTTCAAAGCTAAGAGTGGAAGACCTGTCACCCTCTCCCAGAAAGTGAGCAAACCATTAGGAGGAAAAACAGTCCAAGTCCTATTTCACACCAAAATAAAGACTGTTTGGACCAAAGGTATGTAAAAATTAAATTAAAAACTAGAAACAATTTTTTTTCTTTCTTTTTTTTTACACATCAGAAATAAGTATACCTCTCTAAGCAAAACCCATTTGCCAAAAGGAAAAGATGAGTAAAGTTTACTATATTTAAAAAATATGGATGGAGATGAAATCAAAATACAGATAATAAACTAAGTCTTTATAACATTTAAAACAGACAATGGCATAGAATTAAGGTGAATCAGTACAAAGATGATCCCTCCCCAAATAACGAAAGGACACTAATAGAAAATAAAACAAACTGGGTTATAATTTTAAAAGCAGTTGTAAATGAGTTACTATTTTGTATCTATCATATTAGCAAATATTAAAATATGAATATGACTAGTATCGGTAGCACTGTGGAAAAATGAGGATATTCATTCTCTACTATTGGACTTAAAAACTGTGTAACATCTTCTGTATTTAAAACACAATTCCTATGATATATCCTACAACATCGATGGACCCTGAAAAAATAATATGGGCAATAAGTCAGATGCAAAATGACATATAAATCCATGTAGGCGAGATACCTAGAGTAAACAAACTATTAGAAAGAGGTGAGCAGAGGCTGTGTGTGGCAAGAGGGTGCCAGGGATTGAACCCAGGGTCTCATACATTTTTAGCACATGCTATAAAACTGAGCTACACACACCCTCATCCCTGTATTTTATTTTTAATTTTTTTTCATATTTTTATTGGTGCATTATAGTTGTGTATAATGGTGGAATTCATTACCACATATTCATGCATGCACACAATATAACCATATAATTTGGCCAATATCATTCCCTACTGAATTTTATTTTTAAAGATTTTTATCATATATATTTAAGGTATATAACATGATGTTTTGATACACATTGCAAAATGGTGACCCTAAGTCAAGCAAATCAACACACCCATAATCTCACAAGTGTTAACTGATGGGTGAGTTTTAGTTTTAAATAATGAGAATAATTATATTTTTCACAACCAATACAATATTGGGGTACCATATTTCCATCTATGATATTTATCTTATGATAAGGACAAGATCGCGTTTTATAATAACATTACTTTGTTCTCTTTTCAGAATTGCTACTAATACAGAGATTCGTTATCCTGTGGTTTCCATGACACAAAAATTTCATGCTTAGTGTTGGCCACATAATTGCTTCTTAGGAATAAGCCAAACTTCAGTTCAGGAGGTTCCTGCCTGGGGTAAACACAACTGAGAGGACCCCCCAGGGCTCCGGGGCTCCTAGAGTGTCTCCAATCCTCCCATACCTACCTGGAATCTTGTCACCTGGTGAGTAGGACCTGCTGGTGTGGATGGTGAGGTGGTGGGAGCTGGAACGCTGGGGCTGGGCTTGGATGTGTCTGGGCTGCATATCCTCACACGCCACGGCACTGGCCCCATGGGAGAAGGCAGATGAGCAGGAAGTCAGGAAGAGGGAGGCACAAGCCCAGCCTGCGAAGGTAGCTGGGACCTTCATCCTGCCCTTCCCTATTTAGTGACAAACAAGGGCTTCAGTCCAAATGCTATTTAAGAAAATGATACAAGTCTTTTTGAATGTGACTGACCTGAATCCCTCACTCCCTTTGTACCTGGGATGCTTTTAGTGCTGCCTCCTCAAGGTCAAAATCAAACAGACATGCCAGGCTACAGGAAATGTTTCATTTCCAAACACTTAAAAAAACCACTTTTCTTCTTGTAACTTTGTCATAAGACCAAATTGCCTTTTTTTAGAAAAAAAAAAAAAACATTGATTATTAAGTCAAAGAAATAATACCTGAAAATGTCTGGATCCTGAAGTGAACTCCTTGCAATCTGTCTATATCCAAGGGCAGGGTGGGGGTACTAAGTTATTGTTGAGGCAGACCCCCCCACAACGTTCCAATAAGGGCAAGCGAATGACAGACATATGGGGACTTGAATTAGCGTCTTACCTCTACAATCACAAACTACAGAGTTAAATGCTACAAAATTTCTACCAAATATCAATTATTTAGAAACGGTTAAGTTTGCAATGCTTTGATGATTCCCTTTCCCTTTCTCCTGTCCTTTTTTAGTTATTTCACTACTTTCAGCAAAGAAGATGAGCAGAGAGATCACACCCAAGATGACTCATCCTGTACCTTGTTTAATACGTCTGCAAAGCCTTTGACTCGGGGTAGAACACAATGATGGGATTTGACAGCACCAATACAGTAAATTTCATTTTTGTTTACCACCTCAGATGCCCACCCATAGACAGAATGAGAAATACACAATATAAAGAAGTTACACCTAAAACTAAGGTTAAAGAGCTCTCTGAATTAAATATTCAGGACTTTGGGGTATTTTTAAAAATAGTTCTATGTTCTTATTTTTTGATAGTGTTATACCTAGGCATTTTAAAGTTTAATACTTTGATCTGTGGGACAACAGAAGTCAAAGTCTTCCCCTTTAAAAAGTTGGTTTTTGAAAGGTAAAAATAAAATCCCCCAAATTTAGTGAAACTAGGTATAAAAACAGTAGGACAATCCACACAACCCAAAGGCCAGGTCATCCACCCGTCTTACCCTCCCACAACCATCACAGCCACCACCAGCCGCAGAGAGAGGGGAATATGATCTAACAGATCCCTAGGCTTGTCTCAAGAGTCCTTCAGACAAGGTCTTTCTCTTCTGGATTTGTTTTCCAAGGGGCACAGGTTAAAACCCTGTCCCACGCAACGCCATGTTTGCTGCTTCCTCTAACTGGGAGAGAATGAGCATGAGTTGAGAAGCACAGTCTCATCACAGGCTTCTCAGGCCCTGTTCTTTCACAGGGGTCCCTAGAAAGTGCCTCTGACCCCTTGTTGGTGGCAGAAGGTGGTGTCCCTCCCAAAGGCAGATCACACACGGGGGCTAGGGAGGAAGGGAGCGAGTATGACATCCCTTCCACAGCCACAGTCACAAATCTCACCCCTCCCAACCTCAGCTAGTGGGGTGTTTCCCACCAGCGCCCATCTATCTGAACCCCCCCAAAACCATCCACTTACCTAGGGAGACGCTTTCCTTCAGGCTTGATGGAGCAGTTTCCCCCCTCAGAGTTGCAAAGTCACACTCTTTAAACAAAAGTCCTTTCTTCTCCTTCAGCCATGTCTCTAATGAGGAGGATAACAGCTGTTACCACTAATCCTCAGCATCTACAGGAAGCATCCCTCAGGGTCCAAATTCAGCCTAAATCATATTAGTTGTCCCTAAAGCCATGATCTCACACACAGTTTCCAGCCACATCTTCGTTCAAGCCTGTGTGAAAGACTAGAAAAATCTGGGACTGGTTTTGTACATGACAGGCATCCATATCCTGGGACGAAGCCGGATGTCTCCAACTTGGACTCCCTGCCAAGGGGAAGATGCTTGATTCAAACACTTCTTAGCATTCTCTGCTTCCTCAGTCAATATGGGCTGAAGAAATTAGCCCCGGTGAAGTGGGATTGACACCCCAGAGCAGTGTTTGGTATTAAAAAAAAAATCACATAGTACATTCTTTCCCATATTGATGGCACTGAAGTTGGATTTCACAAACTTGCTGTGCATTTAAAAATCACACAGAACATTTGATAATAGCACACACCCTATAGGTGGCTTTTAAAGTGGGGTCCTGAGAGTATAATATCAGCATCACCTGAAAACTTGCAAAGGTGACAATGGAAATAAAGAAAGTAGAATGGACTAAGGAGATCGTTTGTAGGCAGACTTAGTGGGGTTTGGTAGCTGACTAAATGCAGAGAGTCCAAAAGGTAATTCTAGAATTGATGGTGCAGAGAGATATGAGCTGGGGACTCCAGAGAAAGCAATGGTCTGATCACTAAGCCTAGTCTCTACATCAGAAAATTTGAGACTCTCTACCCTACAAACACTCAGGGAAGTGGACCTTCCTTGGCCTAGGACTCCAATAGCCACCCCCAGCCCCACTGAATTCCAACCAATCAAATTTGCTTCCTCTCAGCCTCTGTCGTAGGAGGATGGAGGGAATCTCAGTCTCCCATTGAGTCATGAGAAAATCTAGAAGACTTAAATTATTAGGCTGAGGGTCTTCCATTACTGCTATTCACCTACTTTTCCAAGCTCATTTGGCCTCTTGGAGGCTATTAATTCAACAGCTTCCATGCAAAAGAGGGGCTCAAATCTGTAGCAATGCAGAAGATTCCCCTGTGAGGTCCCCCACTGCGCTCCTCTGAGCACCTCACCCTGCTGCTGGGGAAGCATGGCTAACCTCTTCTCCACTCCCTCTGCTCCAAAGGTCTCCCCACCCTCCTTCCTCCTCAGCATCCCCCCTCCCCGCTGGTCAACTGGAATAATCTACCTCTGAAACCTACCAACCCCTCTGCTTTGGCCTTAAAGCACAACTCCCCTGAGGTTGGGGTTCTCAAAGGCCCAACTACTAATTTAGAAATGGGTGCAAAGATTCAAGAAAGCACACCTAAAACGCTGAATATGTCAGCTGACATTTCTGGTTAGAAACCAGGAGGACGCCTTCGACTAGACATGGCCCTCACTGCCTGTCACATCACAGCCTTCACTGAGCTGGCAGCAGATGGGGACAATACCTGGTCCCAGGGGAGGGCACTTTCGAGCAGAGTTGAACCAGACACTCCTTCTGGGAATCTGACGGAGAAAACAGAGGGGAACTTTACATGAGCACTGCTCAAAAGAAATATAATGCAAGTCACATATTAAAATTTCCTAGTAACACTATGGGGAAGGAAAAAAAGTGAAAAAAGAAAAAAAAAGACTAAAACAAATGATGTTTATTTTAGGATATTTATTTAAATCAACATGTTAAAAATATTACCACTTCATATGCAATCAGCATAAAAAATGTGAGTGAGACATTTTGCATTCTTGTTTCCATAGTAAGTCTTTGATAGCCAGTGTAGATTTTGCACTCATAGCACATCTCAATTTGGGTGAGCCACATCTCAGGTGCTCAGGGGCCACACTTGAGGCCGTTACCCAAATGGGCAGTGCAGGTCTGTACCAGGAGACCGGGCGAGCAAAGCCGTCATGATATGGGGTTGGGTCTGACATGTGGTAGCACGTGCAAGGTCTGGAAAGGGATACAGTGTGGTTGGGGGGATACGATAGTAACTAAAAATAAAGGCACATTTATTCAGGGCTTGTGTAGGACCAGCACTACTCCAGTCAATCTGTTAGTAAACTACTCACTGACACAACACTAGGAAGTCCACCCATTTTATGGATGAGGAAACCGAGTCCCCGTGTTTCCATAACTTGCCCAGGTTCACACAGCTTTCAGGCTGTGACAGGTAGGATTTCTCACCATGACTTTGCCACTGAACAGCTTTGAAGCCTCATCTACAAAAATGAGGATAACTCCGGTCCCGTACCTGCAGCCCAGTGTCTAAAGTGTCAACGAGACGATAACGATTAGGCAGTGGCATGAGGTTTGACCCAAAGGAAGGGCTCGGTGCACATTTTGGGGAAGATGATGATGGGGCCTGTGCACCCAGAGGAGGCATCCTACACCAACCCCGCCCCCAAGCTGGAAAGAGACAGTGTGAATGTGAAAGAAGCAAGAAACAAACCAGCCCAAGAGAGAGACAGCAATTCCACTCCCGGCCTCCCGTGGAGGAGCCCAGCCGAGGGCACCCAAAAGGGGAAACTTCGGGGGCTTTTTGGTGAATCTGCTAGAGGTCATTTCCCACCAGCAATCTGGCTGAACTTGATATATGAACAGAACTAAATCCATTATATTAATATCCCATGGCCATGACTATATTAATGTCACACACAGGGTAAGTCTCATGGTGGTTTTTATGTCTATAAATCAGCCACTTTGTGTCCTTCGGCAAATCACTTAACTTCTCTGGGTAGCCTCAGGTATAAAGTAAAAGGTTTGGATTAAATAATCAGTTAGATTTCCTCCAGCTAGAGCATGGTACATATTTTTAAAGTTTTATGTAGCCATAAAGGTATTGGAAGGAGTTACTCTTAAAATGTCTCGAGATGACATGAGATGAAAGTCTGGCACGTCAACATCACCTGTATCAACACCTTCCCTCATCACCTCAACTGAAGAGCCAACCTTGAAAAGTCTCAAAGCATCTCAGGAAGGAAGACCCTGCTGTGCTCACTATTCCAGCCCTGTTTCTGGACCCATGGACGTTTCCTCTCGTTCACAGTCTCTGGTGATGGAGAACATGCCTGTGGTGACTCATGACCGACCGTTCCTACCAGGACATTTTCCTCTTTTCATACCTTAGTCATGAATTTCCACTGAAATTGACCAGTGTTTTTACACATGCTGGCCAGACTAGTGTCGTTATCAACGTTTTAATGTTCAGATAGATTAAACAAATCATTAAATACACCGACAAATTTCTGGAATGCTGGCACCATCTGTGCAAGAAAAGCGAAAAAATTCATAATAATCTTCAAACTCTGATTTACATAAAAATGGGAAATCAATGGACGTTTAGCAGGCTGGTTGACTTTGGCTTCATTCTCTATACAACACTTTCTGCCATTAAAACAAAAGAGCCAGGCGTGGTGGTGCACACCTGTAATCCTGGTGGCTCAGGAGGGTTAGGCAAGAGGGTCGCATGTTGAAAGCCAGCCTCAGCAACTTAGCAAGGCTCTGAGCAACTCGGTGAGACTCTGTCTCTAAATAAAATATAAAAAGAGGGCTGAGGGCATGACTCAGTGGTTAAGCACCCCTGGATTAAATCTATGGTACCAAAATAATAATAATAATAATGATGATGATGATGATGGTTTAGTGCTTTTATTCTACCATTTATCTTCTCTTTCATTCTCCCCTAAAGAATAATGCAATCAGGGTTTTAAAAATGAATTAACATTTGAGTGTTTACTATTCATAAAGCAACATGGAAGAAAGTCTCCTGATAGAAGAAAGTATCAACAGAATCTCTCTAGAAGGTGACATTTTACTTGAGGTGAATTACAAGGTGTAGAAGAAAGAGCTCTGGATTCAGACCTTGGACACATTCATGTTGGAGAGCCCCAGTTTTCCCATCTGTAAACTGGGAGATTCTTAGTTTTCTCACAAGGACAAGATGCACTAGAAATGATGCATAGCAGTTAGTAAAAGCTATTATCAGAAGAGAGATGTTATGGTTTGGATATGAAGTGCCCCCCAAAGGTCCTGTCTGTGTTAATTCGAGAATGTTTGGAGGTGAAGTGTTTGGATTGTGAGAGCTGGAACCTCAGTGGTCGATCCTAGTTTGAAAGGACTGACTGGGTGGTAACTGCAGGCAGGTGGGGCATGGCTGGAGGAGGTGGGTCACTGGAGGCCAGGATGCATCTGCCCTGAGGTCCCTTCCCTTGCTCTCCTCTTTCTGTTTCCCAGCCCTCCTGCCCTGAGCAGTTTCCCCCCACCATGACTCCCTGCCTCACCTTGCGCCTGGAGCAACGGACTCAGCAAACCAGGGACTACATCTCTGAAACTGTGAGCCCATGTCAACTGTCCCTCCTCTACTGTGAGCCCATGTCAACTGTCCCTCCTCTAAGTTGCTCTTGTCAAGTATTTTGGGCACAGCACCACACAGCTGATTAACACCACCAGACAGAAAAGCCAGGCTATAAGAAGCTAAGAAACCAGAATTTTCAACTAGAAGTGAGAAAATATGGTGGATCTTAAAGGCTGGGAGGAGTTTGGGTAGATGGAGAGGGTAACAGGACATTCAAATCCTGAACAGCGGTGTGAAGGTGGGATGTAGGGCATAATCACCCAGACACCAAGTGAGGCACACCTGACCGAGACTGTTGGGGCCTGAGTGTTGACTGCGTAAATGGCAGCAAAAGGAAGAATCTGTAAGATTCAGAGAGTTTATGGAGGCAAAGGCGGGGTCAAAAATGATTGGCATCTAGAGGACCTGGACTAATAATAAAATCTATACATTATCTGAAAGAGGGAAGTCCTGGCGCTGGGTTGTAGATCTGCTGGAGTGCCCTTGGCTCTCATTTATTCCTTCAGGCAAACTTCATTCAATGGCCACAAGTGCTGACCTTGAGCTCATAAAGATGAAAAACACAAAGTTTCTTCCCCTTTAGGGCTGGCAATGGAGACAAATGAGTCAACAGGTACAAAACAAGGAGACAAACAATTAGGAGAGATGTGAGCCCACATCCTATCATTACAGGCACAGGAAAAACAATCTCCTGGACTTGATGAAGAATTTCTCTTTTCCTTTCAAAAATTCCAAGCATTCCCATTGTGGGATTGGATCCCAAAAATTAATCTCAAAGACTAATTTTAAAATTAGTTTTAAAATACTGAAA